GGTCCCGCACTGACACACGCAGGTCCCTGACCGGCACAGGGCGTCCAATAAATGGCACAAATATACCATTTCGGTCTGTTGGTCCCTGGTTGAAACGATACAGAGGGCCGACGCTCGACAATAGGGCCTCTGATTAATATAGGAATTTTACACTGTCCCAGGGTGAATGTGGACCTTTGCATGGTCACTTACCATGCCTCCTTCCATCGTTAAAAGGATCCCGCCAGCACAAAAGGCCCTTTGACATTCTGGACCCCGTACCTGATTGTGTTCCGCAAATGTGCCCCTGGTCAACTTAAGGCCCATTGCCGACACCAGGACCCTGTTAGACACTGTGGGCCCCCGAACAGCGCAGGGGGCCCTTCGCTCTTTCAGGGTTCGGCCGGTACGAAAGGCCTTCTGATTGGAAATTGCAGGCCTTGACATTGTCCCTGCTTGACAAAGTGGCTACCGGGGCCAAGACCGACAATGAACCGACTTGTTGGTGGTCTTAGTCAGCTGACTGATGTAGAGGCCCTCATGGTGCCCAAGGAGGGCGGAAAGGGGGGTGGGGGGACGGCCGCTTTATTGTCCACCCCTTCCGGGTTCACCCTATGGCATATTGATATTTCAACCCGCAAGGGGCAGGCCGCTAGCCTAAGCGACAAGTTACGTCAGTGCAGCGCGCACGATTGCTATGCCGCGAGTGGACGTGGTGTACTAATTGTATTTCTCGAGGAATGAAGCTCGAGCCCATGCACTGGATGCGTACCACGAAAGCCGTCCTGGTCTACCATGCTCCGTGTCGTCGTCTTACGCGGACTATTGTTTTATCAGCCAACGCACGCCACTCGTTGGCCAAGGTCACCAACGAAACTAAACGGTGTGGCGCCGACACTTCCCGCTGCCGACCGCCGGACCGTGGCCGTTCGGCGCGCTCTCATGCACGAAGGTCAACCTCCACCCACACCGCCCACCCCAGGGCCAACTTGTCAGGACCAACGTCCGACTCGCACCGCTCACTTCAGGGGACTAGCACTAGACCCATCACGCCCAACTCAGGGACATAACCCACGGGGGAGGGGGAGGGGGACGGACGCCCGACGCGAGACACCCACGGCGGGAGCGTACAGAACTCGCAGCGGCCGGCGTCAGGCGTCACTCCAGGGCAACAGCCAGCCTGGAGCGAGCACACAGGTCCCGCCACCCGGTCCAGGGGTGCAGCTCACCGCCGCCGTTCTTGTAGCAGAGGTAGGGGAACCTCCAGACGTTGCCGAGGCCGACGGCGTAGCCGATGCAGCTGAGCATGAAGTCGCACTGGGAGCCCCACTCTCCGCGCTCCTCCGTGGCCGCGTTGGCCTCGGCCACGGCGCCATTCTTCGCCTTTTGGTCGGCACTCTGCAAGGATCGCGCCGGTCAGCTGTGACACCACGGCCAGAAATTGGTGACGTGTTCTGCTATCGATGTTGAATGCTCGCCACCTTGACAAGCTACCGTCGGAGACTTGCGACAAGCAGTCGATGAGATTACACAGGAACGATGTGTTTTTGACGGTAAGAACTTGATCATAATGGCTTGCGTTCATATGAGCTAAAGGAGCATTCGGCACCAAATTGGTATAGTATCGCCTGAAAAATTAAGCGGCAACAGTTACGGTTCCCCATTCTGCTAAGACATGTAACTCCAAGCTATCAAATTTCGTAAATTTCCAGGCTAAAAAGCAGTGGAGACGGTCAAGCGGACACAATGAAAGAAGAGGAAAATAGCAAGTGAAGCATCAGTGTTCAACCGTTCCCTTTAAAAGTCGCCTCAGTGCAGAGGTTACGAGTCACAACACATGCCATCAGTAACCAAGTCACTGCATCACAGCTTGTGCCAAGGAAAAGGGGCTACATGCCAGTCACGGCAATTCCATTTAGACCACATCTTTTGGCCTGCCACTGCCATGCAATGTTAAAACACGACACAAACATTGGAAATTCACTCAGTCATAGGATGAACAAATATCTTCGTAATTTAAAGGCAATTATTCTTCAGGCCACGCCCAGCGTGAAGGCTACTTGCATGTAACCGTGTCCATCTCGCACTGAATTTTACGTTCCGCTCCACTGATGTTTCCAAAGTACGCAAAAAATTCAGATCTAGCGCAGGCAACGCTAGGCTGCAAGATTATATAATTAGTTACGGTATTGCCGCCATTTAAGGATGAAAACGAAAACCATCAGCGGACACTCACCAGGCCGGACATAGTCCCGTAATGACTGTCGGGTTTAGTCATCGCGGGTTTTCAGCCATCCGCGCCGCGGGAAAGCACGGCTGAGGATGCTGCGCTCGGACGGATCTCGCCCGCATCCGGCTCGAGGAGCGCAGGCCGGGGATCTCGGGCCCGGCTCAGCACGCGCCGGCTGTCGGCGACCTTGTGGTCTCTGGCCCAGCGGGGCGGACCGCACTGCCCGTTTCCGACCGGCCACAGGTGCGTGCCGCACCTGTCCGGCCCATATGTGCCCGCAGCGGACAGTTTGGGGTAGACGCATCTGAGCCTCAGTATTACCA